CACACACACACACACACAGAGAGAGAGAGAGAGAGAGAGGGAGAGAGGGAGGGAGGGAGGGAGGGAGGGAGAGAAGAAAAAGAAAGAAAAAGAGAAAGCTCAAAGTGTACCATAACCCTAACCCTAAAAGAAAGGGAAAAGAAAAAGAAAAATAGAATAGAATAGAAAGAAAAACAATACAAAGAAATAGCTTCTTCTTTAGAGCAGTTACAAGTACAACTATAAATTTACCTCTTACTCTATGGTTACAACATAACTCTCTTCTTTCTATAATCTACCCTGTCTATTCATCAAAACCATAAATCATAAGTTCATTTTTTTCTGTTTCACGCAAAAATTCTATAAGGGTTTTCCAGTCAGCAATAAGCATAGATATTGTCTTTTCTCTCATTTTCTCTGCTTTTTTACATCATTCCAGTTGACAAAAGAGTGAGACAAAAAGTTGGTATTCTCTCTCTCTCTTGCTGAATATATATTGAAAGAGCCTGGATTAGAAGAATCATAGAATCATAGGGTTGAAAGGGACTTTGCAAGTCTTCTTCTCCAACCCCCTGCCGAGGGCAGGAATCCTCAGTCCATCCCCGACAAATGGTTGTCCAACCTTTGTTTGAAAACTGCCAGCGATGGAACTACCATGACTCCAGGAGGTGGGCTTTGCCACTGCTTAATAACTCTCATGGTCAGGAAATTACTACTTATTTTGAGTTTAGATCTCTGTCTGCAAGGCGTTCATCTGTCAGTTCTTGTCCTATTCTTGGCCATTATGGATAATAGATCACAGGAACTCTTCCCATGACAGCCCTTTAAGTATTGGAAGACTGCTACCATGTCTCCCCTTAGTCTTTTCTTTCATAGGTTAAACATACCCATCTCTTTTAACTGTTCTTCGTAGGTGTTAGTCTCCAAGTCTTTCACTTAGCATTCTCCCTGTGTCACTCTATGGACCTTGAAGAAGCAGGATAAAAAGAATATTGATGGTTCTGATTTTTTTGTGTTGGAAAAGACTCTTGAGAATTCCATGGATAGCCAAGAAAACAAACAAATCCATCACAGACCAAATCAATCCAGAGTTCTCAGTCGAGGCACAAATGACAAGGAAGGAAAGAGAAGGAAAGGACAACCAGCAACAAGACAGATGGACACAATTACAGTGGTGACAGATGGACCGTTGGAAGACCTGAAGTGCCAGACTGGGGACAGATCATTCTGGAGGTCTGGATATATGGTTGCTAAGAATCAACCATGATTTGATGGCATGTCATAATAATAGTTGATGGTTAGGTTTACATATATACAGTATAAATAATATGTTTAAACCTGTGTTAAAATACTATAAGAAGTGAAAGTTGCTTATGTAACACCTTTTCCCAATTCCAGAATATGAAAATAAAGTATCATTACCTTTCAGCTTGTTTGCATGTGCTAGGGTGAAAAATAAATAAGGTGTAATCATATGTCTCTAAAGGTGACATCTAACCTTCAATCTGAGCACAGGATTGAGCCAAAACATTGGTGAAAATAGTCTGCAATGGTTTATGATCAGCGATGATTGTAAACTGCTGGCCATACAAATATAAATGAAAATGTAAACAGCTACACATGACAAGAGTTACTTCTTCAATGTGTGAACAGCTGCATTCTATCCTTGATTCAACTTTGCTGGCATAAGCCATCACACCCAATCTATATTACAGTAGCACTTGGCCAAATAGACGCAGCATTTACAATAAGTTCTATATGTTCAAGCACAGTACTGAGACAATTCATGGCAAGCCTTTGCAGCGTCCATATGTCCATATAGTAATCAACATAGCATCAAACCAAGGATACTTTGAAATTGGAATTTCAGCTTCTCCCTGAAACAGACTATCCCCAGATACACCTTTTCTCCCTTCATTCCAGCAATTTATGTGTAGCATAATTTCTCATATGTGTCTTTCTTCAACAACCACACAAAGAGAACAAATAAAAAACATATCTATCTATCTATCTATCTATCTATCTATCTATCTGTCTGTCTGTCTGTCTGTCTGTCTATCTATCTATCTATCTATCTATCTATCTATCTATCTATCTATCTATCTATCTATCTATCTTTCATGGCCATTCATTATTGATCTACTGGACAGATCCAGAGATAATTCTGAAACAGACCAAAGGTCTGATGGTATAGTACCTCAGTTCCTAGGGAAGATGACCATGATGGATTAATCATGGCTATTATTCTGGTTGTGTAATACAACCAAAACTATTTGGATACAGAGTCAACAGATCCATTGCTTATTTGTTTTTAATCCATGGGTAATATAAGAGGCTGGAATATTAGAAAAAGAGAAGTATTGACATCTGTAAGGCAATCGAGTAGCGGGAGAGAGAGAAATGATTCAACTCCTCTACATATATTAGAAAGAATCAAAGAGGAGGAAAGGCAGAAAGATGGAGATATGGATATTTTTGTTTATTCTGCTGCCCGCTCTACTGATTCTGCTCTTCCTGAAACAACTCTGGTCCCGAAGACACTTCCCTCCCGGTCCTCTTTCTCTTCCAATCCTTGGAAATGTATGGGCTCTGGGGACTACAGTTCATGAAGATGTTTTGAATAAGGTATTTCTTTCTCAGTATTGATCCAATAATTAATTAACCAAATAATTAAGAGGCAGTAGATACATCAAACAAAATCTTGTAGATATTAGAGATTCTATCCTTTTTTCCAAAATTTTACGGAGTACTTCAAATCTAGTAAGTGTCCTTATCCCTTGTTCTTTGAGAGATGGTATTAATATAAAATGTAAAATCTGATATATCTGCATGCAAGACAATAAATATTGTCCTATTTTATTTGTTCTCCAGATAATAATGTGGAATCTGAAAAGAGATTTTTAGTTGTATACCATTCGTTTCTGTTCAGATTCTTAAATTAGTTTTTTAGTTTAAATTAGTTTATCTTTATTGAAGAAGGAAGGATGAAATAAAAAAAGACTTCAGAGGTGAAAGTGCTGAGATCAGTTTATTTCACCATATCTTCCCAACTGGAACTATGCTACACAAAAAGAAGGTTGATGTTTTACCTAATTTTTTTTAACTCTAGAAAATGGTAATATTTTAACTTCACCTATATTCAGAGTTTTGATCAGAAGCCAATCTGAGAAATATTCTACGCTTATAATAATGATTTTGTTGACCTTCACTAATGTTGGGGTTTGGCCTCAGTTGTGCTGTATTGGGTGTGTCCTTCTGTTTTTAGCGGTTATTGTTTTTATGTTTTAACTTTATTACCCACCTAGAGTTGCTATTTAGAAGTTGGGTAGCCTAAAATAACATAACACAACAACATAACATAATATACAGTAGTTAATAATTTTTTGCGTGCATTTCTAGCTAGTAACCTTCTGCAAGTCAGGCAAATATTCTATCATGCTACTGGAAGAAAATAAGCTTTAGTAGCTGCAGCAGAAGTTTTAATTATCAATTTGTGGAATTTATATAGTATCCCATCTCAGTCGTGTACCTGAGCAGCTAACAATACCAAACATAAATATAAGTAATAGTGAAACAACACTGCAGCCAAGGCCTTTAAAAATGACAATCCAGTTAAGCTGTACATGTCAGATTCTACTAACAGTCTGGCCCCAGCACTTGAGGAAAAAGCCAGAACTTCAAGGCTTCCTGGAAAACTAACAGTGTCAGGGCCATCCAGTTCTTGGGGAGTGTGGCATGTGGGATGCTATTCCATAAGGGAAGCACCAATACAGAGAAGGTGTGCTTCTTGGATCCCAGTAGATGGCTCTGTTTCAGAGAAGGGATCAGAGCATGCCCACTCTGTTGGATCTGTGGGATAAGCAAAAGTAATCAGGGAGAGATGGTCCTGCAAATAACCTGGCCTTATGCCCAGTAAAGCTTTATAGGTGACCACTACCACCTTAAATTGTACCTGGAAGCCTATTGGAAGCTAGTGCAGCTCAAGAAGCAGAGGTTTTACATTAGTATACTGGGGTGACCCTAAACTGCCTGTTCCACTGAGGTCTGGACCAACTGAAGCTTCTGAATCCTCTTCAAGGGCAGCCCCGTGTAGAGTGCATTGCAATAATCCCACCAGGAAGTGACTAAGATGTGAATGCCTGAGAGGAGAGCCTCCTGTTCCAAGAATGGGCACAACTGCCAAACAGGATGAAGTTGTGCAAAGGAGCTAGTGGCCATGGCTGCTACCTGCTCATCAAATGAGAGCTACCATGAGTCCAAAAAGACCCCCAAATTGTTTCCCAACTCTGTTTGAGGGAGTGCAACCCATCCAGAGTCAAAGATGAAACATCCCTGGACCTTTGGCAGGTCTGTGTGTGTATGTGAAATCCAAAGTCTTGCTTGAGTCAATCCTGTTCTTCATGCAGACCTCCACAGACTCCCAGCACTGGGAAAGAATCTTGACAGCATTGCTTAGGTGACCTGGGACAGAAAAATACTGATGATACTTAACCCTGTGGTTTCATGTAAATGTTAAATAGGAGAGGGGAGAGAATCAAGCTCTAGGGCACCTCACATTATAGAGGACTACACCTCTCCCCCACTGCTAACACCAATTGGAACCAGCCCTGGAGGAAGAAGGAGAACCACAGTAAAATGGTGCTCTATACAGAACCCCCTGAACTGGTCCAGAAGAATACCATAATTGTTGGCATTGAAATCCCCTGAGATACTCAGGAGGGCCAGGATGGACACACTGCCCCTGTGCCATGCTTATCAGACACCATCCACAAGCATGATCAAAGCGGTCTCAGTGTGTGTGATCCCTGGAGGGGGTTGGACCATTCATAACTTGGATCCATAGTGGTCCATAGTGACCATGGTGGCCATGAACTCCTGAGCTGCCTCAATCCTGGGCCCAGAGAAGGCAGACTGAAGTGGCCCAGCACCATAAGCCAAAGAAACTCCACTGCCAGATCAGCCACAGCATCAAATAACTCAGACAGAGAAGTTGCTTTGCAGCAGGGAGCCTGGTACAGTATCAGTGAAACCATCTGATCCCTAAAACCCAACTTCACAAACTGGGACTCATGACCTGTTATCTGAGGAGCAGAATCCCTGGAAGCCAGTAGAATTCATGAATTACTACAGTCACTCCATCACTCCTGCCCTGTCTTAGAGTGGTGGCTGATACCATACCTGAAACCCAGATGGGCACATCTGTGAGAGGGGAACACTCCCCTACCTACCCAAACTGGTTTTGCTAGTGCATCCCAAGCTGGCCTTCTCATTCATAATGAAATTGTGGACAAAGCAAGTTAAATTAAAGACCAACCTTGCATTAAACACCAGCATCTGGAATTTGGGGACACAAAACCAGACACTGGGGCTGAGCACAGAGGGCTGGAGGGCAGAATCTGCAAAAGCACCAAGACTGCCTCCCTTGACAGCAGCCTGCCCCCTGACTCCCAGCACATTTCCCCATGCCTTTACCACCCTGTTATGGTCTACCTTATCCCCCAGCAAAATAGCCAAACATGGGAAAATGCAAGAAAGAAAATGTTAATTTAAAGCTAGTGCTCATCTGTATATATGTGTTTAGATGCTTAACTTAATACATGTGCATTTAATTTAACTTTCTTTACATATACAAATCTCTGACTGAGTTCTTCTACCTGGAAGGGATTGGAAGAATGTTTCACTTTGCTACCTGCTAAAGTAAGCATCTTTCCTTCAAGAAGATGCTTATCCAAATGTTGCAGCAAGATTATTATATGCACAACAATGGAGAAATACCGAAATACCCACAATGGAGGAATGGATTGTGAAGATGGCAGAATTAGCGGAGAAGGCAAAACTGACGTGTTTGATCAGGGATAAAGCAATAAAAGCACTTTTCTAAAAAACTAGAAACCTTTTATGGACTTTTGCTGAAAATGGACAAAAGTGAAGTGGTGATTTCTGGATCTGATGATTGAAAAAAGATTGAATAAGGGCTGAAGAGATTATTGCAATGTTAACAAGGGAGGTGGGATAATGAGTTTCTAACTGCTGTAAAAAAGGGCAGAAGTCACTTTTTAAATTTTCTTTCTTTAACTGTATTCTTTTCTGAATCTTTTCTCTTTTTCTTTCTTTTCTTTATATATTTCTGTATTTGTCTTTTAGCTATGTAAAAGGAGCTGGCAATATGAATGGTGGATCGGCTGCTTGCCTATCCATTCACTTACCCATGAATATGAGCATGCTTTGAAAAGTCAACTTAGCCCAATTCTTTGAACTGCTTTGTTTAGGCTAAGAATGCGGCAAGTGCTGTTTTTAATGGAAAGCATTTGAAAATTCCACATAATTACCATCTGGGAACATTTTCCTACCTTTTGTGCCAAGAGAAGTTGCAAAACCTCTTACAGTATGCTAACAGAAGTTGAAAAACACAACTGTTGATACAGAGCAAGAAAATATTGATAAAGGGTAACATTATTCATTCCTGTCCTCAAGATATGGCTAGTGGACCACCCTCACAGTGAGCCAAGCAAGATAAAGGGATAAGCCCTTGGAGGCACATAGATGCTTGTAAAAATTAAGCTTCTATTCCTTAATATTCTATTTTTATTTCCTAATAAAGTAGCAGAATCTTAAGGGGAAAACAAAATTGCTAATGATGGAAGAATTACAAGTGAAAATAATTTTCTGACTTGAAGATTAGAAAAAAAGCTGACAGTGACAAAGTAACTTGTTTTATTTGATTGTTACCTTTTTTGTTCCATTTCTGATTTATTTCACAGCTGGCTAAGAAATATGGAAATATGTACACCTTGTGGTTGGGGAACCAATCTGTAGTGGTGCTGTCTGGATTCAAAACTGTGAAAGAAGGTTTGGTTGGACATCTAGAAGAATTTTCTGGCCGAGCTCAGAGTGCTTTCTTTACATCTCGAGGAAAAGGAAGGGGTAAGTTAGAGATAGTAAGGAATTAGACAGACCCTTATATATCCGATCTTGAAGAAATTTCCAGGTAGGGAATGTGATCTCTATTTAATGTTATTTCTTTTCTAACAAGGACTCAAAAATATCTGAGCAAGTTGCCCAGTTTTGTGCTACCATCTGTATGATATGCCACACCATTACCTAGGTTTGGAATTTCTTATAATAGTATTTTATTTTGATTTATTTTGGTATTTTTATTCTTAATTATTTTAGACATTATATTTGCTGTTTTTCTGTCATATATGTGTGTGTGTACATATGCAGAAGGATATAATACTATTATTAGATATTTTGATTGTATCTGGCCTTAGGGCTGTAATAAACTTGATTAATTGATTGATAGTATTTGCTTGTAGTGTTTCTGAGAATGAAAGAGTCACAGGCTCAAACTGGGTATCAATAGATATAATTGCAAATACTCCTACTGACTTATATCACACAAATAACTGAGTGAGAATGATAACAAATGTATCGTTTTCATCTACTAATGGATCTAAAATATAAATCCTTGCTTACATCTACCTTTTTCATATAATACATTTTAATAATTCTGAGAATTGGATTACCCCAGAGCATCAACTTGATCTTTTTATTTATGACCAATCGAGTTGGTGTTGACTCTTAGCGACCACACAGATTTTCTCCCGGAAAGTGTCAACTTAGTATAAGAAAAAGCAATGGATTCTCTGTGCCTTTATTACTGCCAAAAGATTAGTTTGTCAACAATGGAAATTTAAATCTATGGCCCCAATTACACAGTGAAGACCTGATATTACTTGCATCTTAGGAAGGAGTTGCCTATAGATGGAGATTATGCATGGACGATTACAGCAAAATATGGTTTTTATTGAAATTTATGTACACAAATTCATAGATATACATTATATATGCATGTATGTGCAGGAAATGTGGTTTCTTCTACAATGCTAATCTGACCTTTAAAAAAAAAAACCAAGCAAAAATGAATGTAATCAGTAATAATTTCTCATTAATTTATTATGTCCTCAGGTATTATATTTTCAAATGGTCACACCTGGAAGAAGCAGCGACAGATTGGTAATGTTTCTTTGCGGATCCTGGGAATGGGGACAAAAAGCATTGAGCATCAGATAGAAGGAGGAGCCCAACAGCTTATAGAAATCTTTGCACGTACAAAAGGTAGGGAATATTATCAATGATAGTGCTCAGAGGGTAACTAAGGTATAATGAGCCCCTGGCAAAGAAAGCAAATTGACCCCATGCAGCATCCTTATGACTGTTAAGGCCTCTTGGGAAGTGATGTGTGGTTGGATCCATGCAGCAGTAATCAGCTGATTACAGCTATAAAATCCAATGACTCCCAAAACCTTTTGCTACACGGCTGCTCAAAACTCATTTATGAAGCTTGATTCCATACTTCTGCAGCAGTATGGTGAGCTCATGTTCAGTCCTAGTATGTACAAGGAGTAGTTACCATATATACGCACAGATAAACTAAGAATTTTGGTGCCAAAACGCACCCCCAAAATTGGGTTGGTTTATCTGTGGATGGGTTTATCCATGAGTATATACGATGATACTTTTAAAAACTACCTGTATATTCTGTATATACTTGCATATAACCCCATCTGTGGATAAGCAGACCCCCAAATTTAAAATCAAAATACCATGAAATATGTGCCACCCACAGATAGGTCAGCTGTGAAAATTGAAACATATGAAAATTTTGATGGTCAGCTTATCTGCAGGTGGCACACTTTTCATGGTATTTTGGTTAAAAATTCAAGCCCAACTGTGGATGGGCTTATACACAACTATATAGAGTAGGAAGCTATTACACCAGTAGACTGAAAACCAGACCTTCTACTGACCTGCTTAGTGTCTATTAGGGAACTGAAATGATTTATTGATCAGTGGAATACAAACAAATACCAGCTGAGATCTGTAAAAATAACAGAGATTGGCAGACTCCTATATTGGCAGGTGTGTTTTTTTTTTTTACGTTTATCAATAACACTACTCATATCTCAAAAGATTGGGCTATTGCAATTACTGTCCCAATACATATGAAAAGGCGAAAGAAGGAGCCTGGCAACCAACTCCCAGTTAGTCTTCTGAACATAGTTAGTAAAATGTATGCTAAACATCTGTAAGAAAAATTCTGTGATTCGGTAGAGAACAATGACATTTTAGCAGAAGAGCAAGCAGGATTTAGATATGGTAAATCCACAATCAATCAGGCAATGACCTGTTACCACCTGTTACAGAAATATACCCTAGGCCTCAATATTCTATGGCATGCAGCCTTTGTAGATTTAAAATCAGCTTTTGATTCTATATCAAGAGACAATCTATGGAATAATTCGTAGGACACCACTAATTCGTAGGACACCACTTTTATTAATTATAATCTCTACAACAATACAGCCTGAAAGTTACGTTCAATGCCCAAGATCTACTAGCAGATTCAATCTCCTATGGTGCCATGGTGTTAAACAAAGATATATTCATGCTCAACAGCTTTCTAATTTTTATATAAAATTGATGGCAAATTAGTGCTTGGTACAGCAGCCATGAAGGCCTTGGAAAAGATATTCAAATGCCGTGATGTGGTTATACCTACAAAGGTCAGAATTGTGCAAGCCATGGTGGTCCCTGCAACACTCTATGGAAGTGAAAGTTGGACTCTGAAAAAGCAAGATGGGAAGAGTATTGACGCTTTCAAACTTTCATGTTAAGAAGACTCCTGAGAATACTGTGGACAGCAAAT